AAGCTTGCTATGAAATGAACATAGTGAAGGTATGGTGAGCTTGCTATGAAATGAACATAGTGAAGGTATGGTGAGCTTGCTATGAAATGGACATAGTGGAATTATGCTGAGCTGGCAATGAAATGAACATAGTGAAAGTATGGTGAGCTTGCTATGCAATACATAGTGAAATTATGGTGAGCTTGCTATGAAATGAACATAGTGAAGGTATGGTGAGCTTGCTATAAAATGAACATAGTGAAAGTATGGTGAGCTTGCTATAAAATGAACATAGTGAAATTATGGTGAGCTTGCTATAAAATGAACATAGTGAAAGTATGGTGAGCTTGCCATGAAATGAATATAGTGAAATTATGGTGAGCTTGCCATGAAATGTCAGAATGTTTAAGATTTGTTTTTAAAAAATGTGGGTAATTACTCTTCCATAATGCACTGCATGTGTGCAGTAACATATGCTCAGTGGGTTAACATTTCAATTTGGCTCACACTGCCTTAAGTAAACGTCTCTACAGATTACTCTACAGGTGACATACCAATATATGTAGGTACAAATCACAAAGGATTGTGGGTAATTGCAGGCATTGTGTCATAACAACTCTACAGATTACTCTACATGTGACATACCAATATATGTAGGTACAAATCACAAAGGATTGTGGGTAATTGCAGGCATTGTGTGGTAAAGTGAGATATTGAATTTGTGCCGCATTTCCTGCCTGATACCGTAAAACTATTTATTTTCAATGATATTTTGAGCGATTTCATCAAGTTCTATTGTTATTCTACTGGATTTTTTTTAGCAGATTTTACTTATAGGCGAAAATAGTTGAATTATAAACCAGTGAATATTTGACGCATTTACAGTAACGCTTTAATAATAACTGATTCAGCACTTATCACATAACTGCTGGTTATGCTACTTACCACGCTAAATACGTAAGTCCTACAACAAATGTACCAAAGATGCCAGATTTTCTTGATGGATAATTATGCTGTACTAAATACATATCGACAAATAAAAATGGAATTACTGTTGTATGCTGAAAAAAAATAACACTACAAATATTAATAGAAGTCACATTCTTCTGAAGCTGAACTACATGGCATTTGATTGATTTACTTAAAATATTATATTTTGGTCAAAATGTCTGAAATATTCTGATTACAATTATGCCCTGTTTGCTTCACTAGAAGCAACTTTATAATAGGACAAATAAACCCAAAGTCTGACTTATTTTCACCATGGACATAATTCTGTCATATATTTAAACATATGCACTACTAATAGAGCAAATAGGTTACTGTACGCTGGAATTAATTTTCGCTGAAAACACTTTTTGGGTGTTTTGTATGAAATTTATTTTCACTGATTTTTAACGAGTTGAATGTAAAGTATAGAAAAAAAGGTATATTCACTGGATTTTATTTTCACTGAATCATTCTTTCAGCAAAAATAAATTCCAAGTAAAAATATTCCAAGTATTCTACAGTATTACATCCGTTTCATTCAATTGGAACGTTTTCGAAATAGATTTCTTTAATTAACCAGCCAGTAATGAGCATTATTTATTTATCTTTAATACAATTAATTTGCTGTAGTGTATATTGTTCGATTTAAATCCTAAGTGACATTATACACCATACGTTAAATACATTGTACAACGACGACATTTCAAAACAGAAATGCATTTTTTTCTTTATTATAAATTTTACTTACCATAACATGATTTAACCATGAAGGAAATATTTTATCCAACCATTCTGGAAAAACAAGTTCTCTGTCAACTGCATATATCAACCAGAACATGAGAACTACGAGCTGAAAATATGAAATAACAATGAAAAGATCAATTAAAGGGTGGTAGTTGTCGCACCACGCATGCGCGAGATATATGGGTCTCATATAAATAAAGATGGCAACTTTCACTTTTGTGCAGATGAACGAGTACAAACTGAGACATTACCAAGCTATAAATAGGTTAACAAAATAAGTACTGTAAAATGACTAATTTTCACTGGGTTTAAATTTCGCTGATTTACCATTTCAGGCATATTCAGTGGGTTTTGAATTCACGGTTTTATCATTTAGATAATGTGTTCTATGCTAAATTTTACATATTCACTGGGTTTTAATTTAGCGCATTTTCCAGTCGGTGAAATAAGCCAAATTAAAACCCAGTGAATAATTAACCCCTTTACAGTAAGTCAATTAACACCTCTTTCATATGCAAATCAGTCAGAACACTAAAAAATGTTCTGGGAAGAATCATATACCTCATATACCATACACCTCTGTAAAAACTATGTTCTTTTATTGTGTTCAGGGTTTCCTCTATAATTTTACTTATCGGTACTCTTTTTCAGAACAAAAGCATTCTTTATCTTCATAAATATTCATAAATTTTAATATCAGTTGTATCAAACCAGCCAATTAACAAGCAAGGTGCAAATTAACATCATTTGAAAATGTTTCAATGTTATACAATCAGCCAATAAGAATCGCTCGTTTCACTTCAAATTGGGAATTCATGAATATTTATAAAGATGAAAGGCATGCTTTTGTTGCGCCTAAAATACTGTGTAAAATACTTTATCTCGCTTGCAACTTATTTTCGCTGACGGAATGTGATTCAGTTGAAATAAAATCCACGAATGTACCTTTTTTCCTATATTTTATATTCAATCAGTGAAAATAAAATCTATAAAAAAAATTTCCAGCTAAAATAAAGTATTTTACAGTACTACATTTTAGCTTGCCACCTGTGTGACTACCTTGATAGAAAGATCACCATCTGTCTAGAGTGACAATTAAGAGTAATTGACAAAACACAAAAAAGTCAGTATAGTACAAAGATTGAAGTTTGAATCACTGTTTTTAGAAGAAAAATATATTTAAAATGGTCGCCTCACCATTCCAATTGGGAATGCAATTGCTGCCAAAAACCAATCCCGAAATCTGCAAAGTCTTCTTCCAAATTTACTTCGTTTGTTACATGACAAAACCAAATCAGTTAAAATGCACAGCCCAAAATAGAATGTCTGGAAATTCTGAAATAGAAAAGACAAGACATGAATGTCACAGTCCTTGTTATTTAATTATAAAATACTCATGTTAAAATAATACATGGAACATCTGCAAAAAGGTGAATTAATATGTACTCTATGTGGGTACAACTCATCATAAAGTAATTTCCCTTAATCTAGTATTGTACTAATAACTGAAAACTTCCATTGACACAAGTGCAACCAAACAGTCTCATACATGCTCAAGAAACTGCATTCATAAATATGAGTAAACATTTATGTATTTTTAATAACTTGACTTCTTTGTTAATTCAGGTCTTTGTATATTACCAGGACCTGTTATTTTTCAGTATTACCACTATAATTCCCATCCCAATGTAACCCTGACACCCCTTTACCGTTTCCACTGAGATTTGTAATGGTATAACACATTTATCCAGTAGCCATGACAACTGAAGCTATAATTAGACTACATGTGTCATTGTGCCTGGCCAAAATTCATAAATATAACTGCAAAGTGTTTTCACTGATCTTCAACTTTGTGACCCGGTATTTCTGTGATGGCTCTTAATAATGGATGCTATTTTTACAGTTTAAAGATAAAATATACAACAACATTTCCGACCATTTTTTACAAGATTTTGTTTTCATGTAAAACCAAACAAAAACCAGACTGTGTTCCATTTCTGTCACTGATGCAGATCAAGGTCATGACGTCACTGAAAACCCTAGCATTACAATCTAAACCAATTATTTATTCTGAGTTGTTCTCTTAGTGTTGTTGGGAGAGGTAATTTATGATGAAAATCGTGAAAAAGACACACTTATGATTTTCAGATCTGGAAAAAAAAATTATGTGCATATGTAACACAGACTTGTTCACAACCTGCCAAGTTTCATTGACATCTGCAGAGTCCCTGGGAAAATGTTATGCTGCGCCTGAAACGGGGACTAAAAAGAGCAAACACAGAATGTGATGTGGGCAAATGAAATTGGTAAGCTAGCGGTGGTGGTGTGCCATCACAGGACGAGCCGTCTCAGCTCTCAATTTCTCTAAAGTTTCATTTATCATTACTTAAAAAAGAAATAACTCAAATGATTTATTACATCCATAAAATATGTGTCGCAAACAAAACATTCCATATTTTGAATAAGCTCTTGACATTACTTGCAAGATAGGCGTCAGTTTGGTGTAAAGCAAACTTCAGATAGTAGAAGGGAGAGATCTAATCATTGGTGGGCCTGATGCAAACATGAATTACTGTAAAATACTTTATTTTCACTTTTGGGTTATTTTTATTGAATATATTTTCACTGATTTTTGACGAGTTGAATGTAAAATTTGGAAAAAAGGTTTATTCACGGGATTTTATTTTCACTGAACCATCCCTTCAGCAAATATAAATTACAAGGGAAAATGAAGTATTTTCCAGTAACAGGAGAATATCTGAGGTGTGTTTTTTATGGCCGTGGCCAAACAAGAGTCAAACAAAAGCCAAAGTTAGGCCAGGTTCGTTCATAGATGAGATTGAACAGATCCCTTCATCACTAACCTGTTTAGATGGTTGGGCTAAATCTTGGCTGAATCTGGGCTTACTACCAGTAGTCCTGTTTTTAGGGCCTGACACCACTCAAGCCTAACGCATTACACTGACAATTGAGCAGCTTGGCTCCGATAAAATTGTCTCGAGTATTAAAATGAAGTGAATTTCATTTGAGATTATGATTATTATCAGGATCTTAGAATTTATGCAAATTATTTTATTTTGCATTTCATCAGATAGAAAAGGATATGTAAGAGATCACATATTTATATCAAGATTGGTAGAAATCGGTTGACGCATATTTCTGAGAAAATAATGCTGAACAAACACACGAATGGATACAATCTGATTAAAATTTAGTCTAAATTCATGGCCGCTGGCGTACGTGCACTCTAACTGTGCAACTACCTACAAATATGCAAATTTTGTACACTCAGCAATCAGTTAAGCTTGTGTTGCAGCGCATTTTACAATGACATAACCTGTTTTCAGTAAGTGTACACTGATTGGTTAACAAATCCTGTCAGAGGAAGC